GGTTTAGGGTGTAGGGGGGTTTCCCAAAATTAGGGGTACCTACTATAATGGAGAATCAAATGGACAAGAAAATGGAAAATGAAATGGAAACTGGGTTTATACAGGGGATTGTAGGGATTAGGGTTTCCCAAAATTATGGGTACCATTTTGGGGTCCCAATAATTAGGATCATCGTAGTTTGGGGTCTATAGTGGTCCCCCTATTTTGGGAAACTACCATATGAAGAAACCTTGCAAGCAACAGACGTCTCACAGCTGTTCGCTCAGACCCCGGCATCATCGGGTCCGAACTCGTACACAGAAGTCCTTGGGAACTGGCCTGCCTGCAGGTGTGGCGGGAGCTGGGGAAGCGGTCAGGCTACTGGGCTCTGCACCTCAAAATCGGGACAACAGCCTCCTGGCTCTGACTCCAAGCTGCATTGCATATTGGGGTTCTATTGGGATAATGAAAAATAAAAGGGAAACTACTATGTTACTATGTTACATAGGGATTACTATGGCTGCTACTACTACCATTACTATCATTACTACAACTCCATTGTTATATAGGGATTACTATGACTGTTACTATTACCATTACTATTATTACTACAACTCCACTGAATCCACTGCGCAGCCCGACAGGGTTCTGGCAACTGATATCTTAAGTGACGTAAGGAGCTCGCACAAAATCCACCGGTCGTTCAATGGAGTTATAGTAATAATAGTTATAGTAGTAATAACAGTAATAATAGTAATCATAGTAACCCCTATATAATACAGTAGCTTCCATTTTGCAACTTGCAAATTCTAAGCGATCCCCCCATCAGGCAGCACGAGATCGAAAGCTCTAAGCCGCATCGCCGACTCAAAGCCCTCTCTGGTTGCAAGTCCTTCTCCCTGCATGCAAGCAGACAACTTCTCTCTGATGCCATCTCTGATACGCACCATATACATTCTCTTCTGGCAACAGCGGAGAACACCATCCGGGGGAAAATGTATGTACTGGCAAATGGACTGACATTGGAACAATACCCCCTGCACTCCCTATAGAAGCTACGTCTACGGTATGTCAAAGGGAGAAAGATGCTCAAGCCTTGTCCTGTCCCCTTCAAACGAGGCCTGGATGGCTGCTGCCAGCGTAGCAGAACCCCGGCTGGCTGCCAGTTTGAGGGCCGCTGCCTTGCAAGAGTTTTGCTTTGCCTTCTCGGCTTATCATCATTGAGAGTTGTATAGCGCATGCTTGCGACAATTTCTTGCCAGGTATGGCGTGCACGTGAAAGCTCTGGCACGTGGGAGGCGGCTTCAAAAGCTGCGCTTCAGTGCCTGCTTATGGATTGGGCTAGGATATTTAGGATATTTGCTCTCTCGAGTTGGTGCACAGGAAGCACCACTGGCAGGGTTGCTGGCAACTGCAGGGCTAGCGGGGGTAAGTGGTGGTGCTGGTGGCAGCGGGACTTGGTGTCGGCGGTGGGGGCGTCGGTGGCGGCCCTGGTGGTGGCGGTTCAAGATGGAGCGTGGTTTTGCTAGCTTTGACTTACTAAACATTGGCCGTATGAGCCACGCGATCATCAACCATAGGGAAGTTGCTGTCGCTCCCTCATCTTCTTTACAGCTTCGAATTTTTGAGCGTGTGTTTCATGAAGCTGCGAGGTGCTTGCTTTGTAGATCAGAGCCCTTGCGTACGCCAACGCTTCTGCACCAAGAGTTCTGAAAGGACCCAAATAACATGCGAGGCAAACCAGAAAAAGCTTCGGGGCATGTGATCATCACTGCACTTGCTGCTCATTCAAGACATACATCAAGCATAAGAATCTCACTACACGGGTCCTAAACCTTGCTTGTACAATGTCGGAAAGAGAGAGAGAGAGAGAGAGAGAGAGATAAAGAGAGAGAGAGAGAGAGACAGAGAGAGAGAGAGATGCCACAACTACAGCGCAACTATAGGTACTATAGGTGCAGTCTGCAGCATACCTTCTTGCAGTTGCCTTAACCATATACACCCCATAGACCCGAATATGTTCCTAATTTTTCCTAACTTGTAGCCCTGCTGAGGACTGCACAGCATCGTTCCCAGCAGCAATAGTGCTCAGCAGGGGTTCCGCGCCCATGCTGCGCTCAAGCGGTTTTTAACGTTCTGGTCAGTGATCTTCTACACCAGCCTACTGTACTTTCACATCATAGAAGCCCGGCGATCTTACTTGGAGGCCCAGCGCAATACTTAATCCTGATTAGTGTGAGGAGCCTTAATTGTCTGGGGATAGGGGCTTAGGGGTTTAAGCTTGTTATAAAGTGGTTACCATACTGGAGAATGAAATGAACCAGAAAATGGAGGAGACTCCTTGCAACCTCAAACTCTTTCCGCCATGGCTTAGGGCTATAGTCCCCCTTAAGTAGATAGAATATGGGGTATATGCGGATCTGATTATAATATACCCAAAACCATATTCTATCTACTTAAGGGGGACTATAAGGGTTCCTTAGGGACCCTAGGGATGCAAAAGGATCACTCGGGGATTCTACGGATTCCTTTAAATTTACACCAGGGGCTTTGCCTAAAATCCTGTTCCTAAAATGGGAAACTATTCCAAAGACCCGCATTATGGTGGATTTAAGCCAAACACCATATAACAAAGGTTGAGAACGACTCGCGGGTATCGAGGAAGCAGCCTGCGCTGATGATCCCGACCCAAAGCCATAAGACTCTCAGAGCCGTCGCAAAGCATGGCAGAAATGGGACAATGACTCCAGGAGAATTCACGGATCGGTGCTGAGAGTTGAAAAGTTTAGGGCTTTCGTGCCTTCAATTTGTGGGTGGAAGAACATCTCGGATTTCGGCTTAGGGTTTACGTCAGCATGTTCATGAAAAAGATATTTGATTTAAAGGGTTTGGAAGTCATGACCTCAAATCTGCGCTGCATGCAGAAGAAGATACTGCTGTCCATGAGAAGCACCAGGTTTCAATGATGCGGCTAGGTCCCACCCTGTGTGTTAGGATTTCGGGCATCTTTCCTTGAAATACCTTTCTGCTCATGTTTTTGCTCTTGCCACCAAACAAAGGACCCAAGATCTTGCCCTCATCTGCTTGAGAGGGTGTTCACTGCAATGCCACGATTTTGGGCCTCGGCCGTTGCAAGCTACTCGGAGCCAGTCGGCACGTGGGCAGGTATGGGGAAAGTGTTACGGAACTTAACCTAAGTTACTGCAAGGGGTATATATGTAATGGGTATATATAGTAATATATAGTAATTCATATGGTTCCCCCATTATAGTAACTTATAATTAAGTTTCTTGACAGCAACCCAGTTTATGGGGAAGGGGAGGCAGACGGCCATGGCGCCAAACGCATCTCTTAGTAGCTACTGGAGGTCCCTGCAGTTCACACACATCTGCTTCGAAGTAACCCCAGGCGATCAGAGCATAATCCTCGCGTGGATGCTGTTCCAAATTCTAGTAACCCTTGCGCCGTCTTGCGCGTGGGCATTGAAACGGCATTTCAAAACGTGTATACACATAGACATGTATTGGTAACTGTTTGTTCTTGCATCCGCCGTTGCGCGAGCTTGCATGCGCACGGGTTTCTGTAACCCCTTGCAAAACCCTGCTGTTGCCCTTAGTCTTGTTACAAGAGGCAGGGTAGTTTAGAATGCCATCCATACCCCAAACCCGGCCAACAACCCATACATCTGCAGCACACCCTTCTTGACAGCGTGGCTTGCGCGGCTCAAGGTGCCTACGGGCATGGCTTTTGGCCTTGCGCTCCTAGCGCGCTGTCAGACATACTTTGCTGCTTGACAGCCAAAGCTCAGCCAAAGGCAAATCTAACGACCAATCGCCCTGCTCATCTACCTGCTGTTAGTTTTGAGGTCATTGCTTGCGGGTATGACGTTGCCATGATCCCAGGTGAGGCAGCCAGCCGCCAGCGAAAACAACATGCCACAGCGTACCACAGCACTCCCGATGACAGCAAGGTGGCGCCCGCAAAGATACCGAAGGCAATTCACAGCGTATCAAATAGAGATGGTGCAGGGGTAATTCCACGCATAATCTACCACATACTGTGACTGGAGGAAAGCTTGAACCACCCTATATACTAACCTTTTGAACTGAAGCAAGTTGATGATCTTACCTGGCGCAAGATTCCTTCATTCACCATAGCCATAGATATCAGGAATCAAATGGAAAAGAACATGAAGAATCACATGGAATCTAAATAACAAAGGTTCCACGCAAAGCCTGGCCCATAAACCCTAAGCCTAGACCCTTTAAACCATGTGAGCTTGAGTCTAAACTCCTAGTATCCCCCTTAATTGACCCTTATAGCAATCCCCAGAAAAATCCTACTAACCCCTGTAAAAGACTTTAGACGATGGCTTATGTGGCTCCAGCTGCTGCGGCACGCCTTGTGGTATCGCAGGCCCTGCAAAGCCCAAGCTAATACCCTGTTTAGGGTTTAGGGTTTAGGGACCCTTCTTCAAGGGCCCCTGACCGCAAGGAGACACAAAAAGAAGGGGATTACAGGGTCCCGTGCGGAGGAGACATACGTAGAAGTTGTCATTGTACTCGTTGTATTTGTTGTGGCCGCTGCCGTTGTTGCAGTGTTGGCACTTGTCGGTGTAGCCGCTGTCGTCGTTGTAGTCGTCGTGGTGCTTGTTGGAGCCTGACAATTCAACAAATCTAGGGCTGCAAAAACCAGTATGTCCAGCAAATGTTTAGGGAATGGCGTTACTTTGAATGCTTACGCACTCTTGACAATCCCTACCCTCACGGCAGTCTCCGGCAAGTTGGCAGCATGCGCTTAGTCTAGTGAACCGCTCCCCTGTCCAGTGCCTCTCCAGACCTTGAGTAGTTGTAGAGGCCATTCGTTTTATCTTGGCCTCGGACCCCGGCGGCTGCCGACCCCTCCCAAAAAAACATGTTACAACTCCGCGACTGCATTGGGCTGGAGTCAAACTGCCTCTGTGCTCCCTCAAAGCACTTCCCGAGGCCGCAGCCAGTGCTTGCCACCAGCCCACCAAACACGTAGCAGGCGTCTGCTGCGTCACTGCAGGCCATTGCATGTCTCTCGACGGCTGGGGGCGCCGAGCCGCTGGGTGTCAACTGCACCCAGTGGTCAGCCTGCGCAGAAGGAGGTCATCGAAAACACAATGCTATCGTAGTTTGAAGCCTATGCCCTCGAGAAATCTGAGGCCTGCAAGTTACCCATTCCCAGCAGTACGCAATCACAAAAACTCGATTGCTTGCTTCTGGTCAAGAGCTCCGCGGCCTTCACATGGGACAATAAGCGATGGAGCATAAACAAATTCCCAAAGCCAGGGCTGCTAGAACATCAGGCAGGGACTCAGCAAAGATTAAACCGTACAAGCCAATACAAGCGATATCAGACGATGAGAGATTCGACTTCCATGCTGCGTGCTGTGTAGAATCGTACGGAGCACATGACTCCTGCGTCTTCACGCTCCAAAGAAAAAGCCATGGAATGGATGGTGCTGCTTGAAAGCTCTCTTCCGCAAGCCTATGTCGAGACGCTCGTGCCCAAACGGGATTTCAGCAAGCGCTTGGTCTGGCAAATCGCTCCCCTCTCCAGACCTGCAAACCTTGACCGGGACCCTGCCTGCGGATCGTACTTGTAAAGGTCATTCACCC